CACAATGAATCTGCAGTTACCCTGTGAAGAAATGAATAAAAAAAACCACAAAACAAAACAAACAAAAATAGAATTTAACAAAATTTAACTTAGGAGATAAACTCTGTAGAAAGCCCACTGACCTTTTTTACATTTTTGTTTACATCAACCAAGTTGAGCTGGAAGATGTGGTCCTTTGTCCCAACAAGCAGCCGGCCCCTCTCCTCATCTAGCAGCAGCAGGGTTCGAAAATCAAGTCCCTCTGCTGAGCCCAGGAATGGGATGCAGCTGTTTGAAAGCAGCAAGTCTGTGGGAAAATGAAGAAAATCTTTATAATCAAAATGCTTATATATGACTCATCAGTGTCTTTTATAAATATATGCAACTATAAATATATGCAACCAGCACGGAGTATACCAGTGAGATAAGTGCAGTCTTGGAGTATGACTTTCCAGAGTAAAAATACAGTTCCCATTAACTTTGGGGTTCTCTGGGCTTTTTTTTTACTTCCAAACTGGGTAATATTTACTTTCACAAAATATTTTTCTACGTAAAATTTTCTTTATAATTTTCTGTATGGTATAGAAGAATCAGAAATTCAACATCAATTAGAAACCACTAAAGACAGATCTTTGCAAAATGTGTGCTATATCTTTCCTTCTTTCTAAGAAAACTAATTATATTTATATTATCATACAAATGTTCAACAATCACTACCTCACCATATTTGGTGCTCCAAATATAAAGCAGCAAAATAAGTCAATGCCAGCCAAGAATAATTAGGAGTAGGAAATAGTGGATAGGGACATTTGAAGATAATCCAGTTCAACTCCCTCAGTATGAGGACAAACATCTTTCACTAGATCAGCTTGGTCAAAGCCCCACCTAACATGGTGGATGTTCCAGGGATGGGGCATCCACAACTTCTCTGGGCAACTTGTACCAGTTTCCCACCACTCTCATAACAGAAAATGTCTTTCTTATATCCCGTTTCTATCTACTCTCTCACAATTTAAAACTACTGTCCCTTGCCTTGTCAATAAAGACTTTGGGAAAAAATTATTGCTCATATCTTTTACAAGCCCCCTTTATATATTGGAAGGCAACAATTAGGTCTCCTCAGAGCCTTCTTGTTTCCTGGTGGAACAACACCAAACTTCTCAGCCTGTCCTCATATGGAAGGTGTTACAGCCCTCTGACCATTACCAGGGCTCTTCTCAAGGTTCATTCCAAAGTTCATGTCTTTCTTGAACTGAATGCCCCAGAACTGAATGTAGGTGGGGTCTCACCAGAGCAGACTGCAGAGGAAGATTCCCCTCCCTCTATCTGCTGAACACACTTCTTGTGGTACAGCCCAGGGTACAGCTGGCTTTGCAGGCTGTGAGCACACACTGCTGGCTCATATCCATTTTTTTTTTCATCTACCAGTATTGCCAAATCCTTGTCTGCAGGGCTGCACTCAGCCAAGTCATCACACAATCTATTCATCAGCCAGTCTGTGTTGATATCAAGGATTGCCCTGACCCAGGTGTAGGATCTCGCACTTGGCCTTGTTGAACTTCACATTGCTTACACAGGCCTCCTTCTCCAGCCAAACAAGGGATCTTTAAAGACAATTTATTCCAATTCAATGATAATGGTATAGTAAGGGGAACATCCAGTAGCAACACCGCTAAGATCCCTATTAAAATCAAAAATTTTACACTAAAGTTTTACTGCGAATTAACAGTAGATTCAAATATCTTTCAAAAGGTAATTAAGAAAAAAATGATGCTCTGTGAAACTAATGAAAGAATCTATAAAACTGCAAAAAAATTCTGTAACATTCTGCCTAATGAATATTCTGTGGACATAATTCTGTATGAGGACACAAACAACATACAGAAAAGAGCACAAGGATAGTTAAGTCTTGTTAGGTAGTCATTACTCTGGGGAAAAGAAAATAAATATGTGAATCAGTTCTTCCACAAGCAAACTCTCCAAGCTAAACTATTCGGAAATCGTCAGATAGAAAGGCAAATCCTGTATTTAACTGACATAAAATTAAGGGTATTTCCACCTTCCTGGCACTGGATGGATAATGTAGCATTCCTGCTAGAAAAGCCAGATTTACTGCAAAAGTCGTTTGCACATCCTGATCATTATGAAAATTAGGGCCAGTGTTTTGGAAAAAAAGTCTTGAATGAAATACAAGGAAAAAAACCCCACCCAAACATTTTTCTCCAAGAACTCTCACAAACCATATGACAGGCAAAAATATTAGGTTCTGGTGCTGCCTAATAAACAGCACTCTGGAAGGAAAAATATTTTATCATTATTAATCTATCTGGAATATAATTATGATAATTATTTTTTGGCTCAGTCACTTCTACTTAAGTTTGTGTGCATTTGTCTGGCTCAGTGCAGGGTGTTGTTAAGGTACAATCTAAAAACAAATTGTCATGCACTGACACTCCTATTCCCCTAGGTGAGATTTATTTGGCAGTTCTTAGGAAAAAAAATCCTGGTTCACATTGAAAAATGATATCCTATGCTAGGCATTACACTGCTATACATCAGCACTGTCCTCTCTCACATATATTTTGTGAAGACAAAGATGTCAGGGTTTGTTTTCTAAACTAGTAACACTTTAAAGGCTTTGTTTATTAATTGCTAGCAAGATCACTTAGGAGCAGCTTATGGTTAAGATGGTACTATAAAAACCTCAGTCCTCACCTGTAGGACACAAATAACTAACATACAGAATATGAGGGAAAATTCCTTCCCATCTGCAGACACAGGCAATTTGATCTAAGGAAGGATAAATTATATGCTTGTGCAAATAAAAGCATGGGCCTTCGCAAGAGTGTCAATTGCAAAAATATGTGGATTTGATTCTCCACATACATGAAGAACCATGTCTGAAACTGCTCTCTACTTCCCATTTCCTTCTTGATCGAAAGGGAGATCTCTGAAACGACTATTCCAAATGGACATTTCTCATCTGTTGTTTAACAGTTCCAGAATTTATCAGTAAAAAATCCCACCTAGAAGAGCTACAACAGTGAAGGAAAATGCTGCCTCATGACTGAAATGCCCAAGTGGGAATAAGCCCTGTGTGATGCTTTGTACAATCATTTATTTCACTACATCATAAGGAAAACATCCGCAGAATATTCCAGATTGAAATGACAACACTACTTCTCCTTTCTTACTGATGTAGATGACAACACAAGCTGCAAAGCAATGAAGAACCAGGTTTGGCCAGTCATTTACTATTGAAAACAGCTTGGAGGAAGTAAAAGTCTGAGCATGACCATTGATAAGGTTGTAACTGTAACATGACCTAATAAAACTTCACAAGTAAACATTAACAGAGGGTTGATTAAATTGCAGCCAAATTAATCACTGGTCACACTTCATAAAACAACACAATCCAATCTTATGTGTTGAAATTTCCCTTCACAATGAGACATATTTACTATCACTGAGGATATTACACTGGAAAAATGTACTGTGAAAAGCACATTTCCCAATGATTTTCAAGCTTAGAGCAAGCTGTCAGTTTGAATCACTGCATCTCTGTAGCCTGGCTAACACAGAACAAGCATTCTCACAAGTAACAAAGTTAGCTACAGGGATGGCCTTTCATGAGTACATGTACAGCACTCAGTTTTATAGTCTCATTTTGCTGTTTTCCTCCAACTTAAATCATTTTTTCCAGCTTGGTGATTAAATAAGCATCCAGCTAACTCCCCTTCTGGGTTAATATTTCACTGCTGAGTGGTAGAAGCTGGAATAGTGACTGGGTTTTGTTTATTTAGCACAATATCTCAATGGACTTGGCTTAAAACAGCATGGTCATTGCTTACTTAAAAAATCTCCAGCAGCATAGCCACAGAAAGGCTTCAAAAGTAAAAATGTCATTCTGTTTTGATAACACATATTTGTATTTATAAAACATATTTAGACTTCTTAGCATCAAGTCACATGTGTGGTGATCATGCCACCATTCCTCAACTCCAGCATGATGCAGGAATGCAGCAATGTGGAACCAGCTTGGCTGAGACTCAGAATTCCCTTTGTGACCAGTTACAGACATTTTCTAAAGACAAGCTACAGCTAAAATAACAGAAAGAGAACATCTCAACATCTTTCAAAACAGTTACATCTAATGACAACTTTGAAGGACTCTGAAACTAATGGCTGTATAAATTTCAAAATATATACAGCAAAAAACAGAGGTTGCCTCACTTTCCTTTAGGTAGGATCAAGTCCTTTCTCATGTTGGAGAGTACACATAAAGATTTACATGGGCACTGTAGAAATTCTCAACCAAACTTTTCAGATAAAGTATTTATAGCATGACTGCAGCGATTTATCCAATTCCTGAGGTATTCTGAGTGTAAAATTGACCAGATGACCCCAGATGCATTGGTACAAAGGCAAAGAGAATAAATACTTCCAAACTACTACAAATCTCTACTATGTACTGCAAGGTGTAAATTATATTTTTTTAGCTGCATCTCACCATGGGTAAAGCTGTGCATGCAAAGTGGCTCTCATTGTTATACAATCTTATACAGCCCTGGTGGAAAAGGTTATATTCATAGACCAGCAGGGCCTCTCCAAAAGGACACAGATAACCAGGAATAGAGAAAACAGGAAAACAGAAAAATTATTTTCTGCTGTCCCAATTTTGTGTCAAAACCTTGGTTATGAGAAGCCAAATAAAGACGTATTAAATCACATGTTTTGCAGTTAGGGACTTCTCTGTCTTCATCTTATAGGACTGGTTGTTCCCTAGGAGCATGTAAAAGTTACTGTGTAAAGAAAACTTTTCAAAGATGGCTAAAAAAATTCAGAAGTACTCTGCTGCAAAATGTCACGTACTTCAGGGCATCTTCACTTCAAACTTTAAGCATTTCTATGGAAATGCTCAAGAGACAGCATACTTAATATATCCAACATCTCTGTTTGCAAAGTCTTTATTTCAGATAGAGGTATAGGAAGGACATTCTCTAAGATACAGAGGGTTATGTACAAGGAATGACACATTTCAGGCAATTTGAGAAACTTATCTTCTTTTATTAGTTTCTCAAACATAGATATTCAAGTATTATTTAAAAGCAGACAAGCAACTGGGGGGATTCTCTAAACTAAGGGTAATTCTCTAAATTAAGGGTTTAAACTAATCTAGTCTAAACTCAAGGCCACTCAGAGAAGTGTTTGCACAACGAATCCATGCGCTGCAGCATCTTCCTTCTGCAAGAGCAGGAAAGCAGCTTCAGGATTGCCAGGGACAAATACAACCATCACAAAGAGTCCATGTCGCAGCAATCGGCTGTGAACTTCTCCATCAGAGCTTTGTGCAGGGAACTCCTCTCAATGTTGGAGAGCAGCATCCAGAGGCGAAAGTACAGCTGCTCACAAGCCTCCATCGCCTTTCTGTGGGCATCTGGATCTCGGGCCAGGTACTCAAAGAGGTTGAGTGGCTCAACCTTTTGCATTGCTGGCGGCAAGCTGATCTCTGCAGGAAGCTTCTCGTTGCCTAGAACAAAATGGCCCAGGTGTTTCCATTTCAGGCAGAACTTCAGGAACACCATGATGTCCCACAGCCGCAGTGGAAATTCCTTCCTGTGCCAGTAGACCTGCGGTATGATGTTTAACACATGCATGACCAGAGTCTTCCAGGTAGAGGTGGAAAAACCTGTGCCGCTCAGCATGCAGGTGAAGAGCTGCAGGTATTTCAGGTGCAACCTCTTACATGATATCTGCCTGGCAATGTGCTGGAAGAATTTTGCCTCTGCCACAGCGAATGTCTCAGGCCACGCTGTGCTTGCGAGGTTACTGGAATTGCCTTTCTGGGCCTCTGTGGGCTGGCTGACCACAAAGATGTCAGAGTCCCCTTGGCACACACCAAAAAGCATCTCCACTGGCAGGGTCCTCTTGCCTCTGCTCAGCTGGAATTGGCAGGACCGGCTGCAGGGCTGAAACACCAAGTGGCATGAGTATGACTGAGGCACATGCAGCCACAAGCATCTCACCATCTGGAAGAACCAGTGGGAGGTTTTCTCTACATCCAGGTAGGAGCCAGTGTGGAGTGTCTCCAGGAGGCTGCGCTGCTGCTTCCGTTGCAGCTCCTCTTGTGAGTGGTGCAGGAGGCACAACAGCATCTCGCCCAGCTGCTCCCTCTCGCTTCAGTGATAGTGTCTCCTGGCACATCCCCATCACTCTGTCCTTCTTTCTTCAAGTCATAGCCATTGTAGACATCACTGTCTTCCTTGACATCATAAGTGCCACTGTTGACATCGCTGTCTTCGTTCATCTTCACATCATAATTGCCTTCAATGGCATCATCCTTATCTCCGTCATCTGCAGCCACAGGACTGCCTTCTCTGTCATTTTCAGTGCCACTGTCATCTGTCTCCAGAGTCATATCACCATCTTCTCCACCTTCCTCTGGATCAGCGGTGTCTTCTTCCTGTTCAGTTATTCTCTCATCTCCCAAAGTCTTGCAGGAGCTCTGGTCCTTGCTGCTGCTTCTGGCCTCACAGCTCCTTCTCCTGCAGCCCAACCACTGGTCCAAGAGGAGCAGGACGCCAGGAAGAACCCAGACTGGCCACTGCTGCAGGGCACCAAAGGGCACGGCTCCCCAGCCCTCGTCCCGCTCCAGCTCCTGCAGCAGCCGGGCCATCTCACAGTCCAGCAGCTCCTGATGCTCACGCATTCTCTGGTGTGTGGCCTCATCCAGCCCGTCCCCAGCTGGCTGGGGGTACTGGATCAGGCTTTGCACAAGCACCAACAGCAGTGACAGTAAAGCCATGGTCTGCAGGAGGACACACAGAAGGGGTTCAGTGGGGCCGGAATGGAGACAGTGAGGGGCAGGAGTAGCAGGGATGTGGTGGCAGGAAGGAAAGGGTCCCCGGCAACTGGCAAGGCTGCACCGCTGCCCCCATGAGCACCGCGCCCTCAGCAAGGCACTCCTGCCTGGTGCTGGGCCCTGGAGACGGGACAGCCCCGGGTACCGGCGCTCCTGTCCCAGCCATCTTCCAGCCCCCTCTCCCCTCTGCTGTGTACTCACCACTTGCCGAGGCTCTACTGGGGCAGTGGCACTGGCTTGGGGCCTTTTATAGTTGCCCCCATTGTGACACGTCCCCTGTGCTGTCACAGAGCCCAGAGCGCATCACAGGCCAGCCCCACCAACCATGCCAGCCTGGTCATGGAACTCATCATGGCCCCGGGCACGGAACTAATCATGGCCCTGGGCACAGAACTCATCATGGCCCCGGTCATGGAACTCATCATGGCCCCGGGCACGGAACTCATCATGGCCCCGGGCACGGAACTCATCATGGCCTCGGGCACGGAACTCATCATGGCCCCGGGCATGGAACTCATCATGGCCCCGGGCACGGAACTCATCATGGCCTCGGACACAGAACTCATCATGGCCCCGGGCACCCAGAGCCCCAACAGACACTGAGTGCAGAGGCATCACTCGGGAACCTGGGAACCCCAGAGCTTCCCTTGGCAAAGCAGGCACAAGCACCCTGCACACAACCCTTGTCAAATACAGATTTGGTTGACATGACCCATGGATGTTCTCAGTATACAAGTGTCGACTTTAATACTGGTGGGGGACATTTTTTATTAGTAGTATTTATACTTATTACTTTGCGGCAGGATGTCATGTAAGCTAATGCTCTGTTACAGATTTTGTGAGAAATCTTTCTGAAAGAAATCCAGGTTGCATGGATGATGCACAGGAAGATTTAATACCATCATTAAAATGCCAAATAAATTAATTACAAAATTTTGATGCCTTCAATAACCTCTTAGCTCTCAAACTCTGTGGTTCAACACCATGCAAAATTCTGGTAGAAGCAGGATTTTGTTCAGAAAGTAGTTCTGCAAAGATATACTTCTGTCACTCCCCCCATCTTCAAAACTGTCTCCCTTAAACAGAGTTAGACAATCTCTCTGACATATAAAGGAACTTCTGTCTCTTTCTGCTATCTCTTTGTATATTTATCTCCACAGGACAGTGAGTACAGGAGAGATTATACTCCTCAACCTTTCTTTGGGGAACTCATCTATAAATGGAACTGCAGAAATGGGGAGGGAGGAAAGGGAAACAGGATGTGACTTGAGTACCTGCATAGTGACCACAGACGGCCACTGCTAGACAGACACTGAAGTCAGGTGGATCACGCCACCCATTGGTGTGTAGAAGGAGAATAATGTTGGGATTGCTAAAACTGTTCTGAACTGGATTTGCTTAACAGATGTCATTAGCTAAAGTGGTCAAATAAAGCGTTTCGAACCCTTTTCCAAGCTGATGCCATTTATGATGTATCTTCCCCGCATTCTTGTAGGGAAGCTGTTTTTGATGTTGTCCCATCCTTCTTTTTCCATGGGAGCAAAAATTATTTGCCAAGTATCACTCTTTCAGTTTTGTTTCCTCTCATTTTCCAAGATTTAATAAAGCAAACACTCAGCAGAATAGTTCCGTATTTTTCGAACACAATTCTTTTACCAAATTGAGGCGCTTCTGTGACCATTGAAACACAAAAACTGTTGTGAGCTACAGTTTACACTTAAGAGGTTGATATGGGTCAGTTCTCCAAGGTTATTCTTAGTTCAATTGCTATGTAAACTGTTGATGTCAGTGACTGGAAGCTGCTCTCCAGGACATTATATATATGATAATTATATGACAGAAAATGCAACATATAGTTGAATGTGACCTTCAAGTTCACTAGCTTAAAAAAAGAAATAAAAAGTCTGCAAGAAATTTGCTGGGTTTTCTATTTATAAGTGCCTTCACATTTATATTTAGTTTATGCATATACAATAGACTTTCCTTGCATGGACAGCAGTGCCCATCCATCATAAAGCTAGGGTATATTATAGGTCTCAATGCTCACTGCCTCCAGAAAGCATTTTGAGACAAAACAGACAAAGTTTTTTGCGTAAGTATACAATCTTCCAATAGTAGGATCTTCATTCTCACATAAACACTTCACGTTTTTCCTCAAAGGAATCAAAGATAATTATTCTGAGAAATAACAAACCATCAAAAATTAATTAAATAACAAACAAGAGGAAAACACCACTTCTTCACTGAACACACTTTCCTTGATTTTCATAAGCATTCAGATTTACAGCTGCTGATACTACCACAGGAGCAGGGTTTTCTCTGGTTTTCCTTCCTCTTCCAGCAGAGCAAGCACAGCTGCAAAATAAAAACTCATTTCTAGGCTCTCTTATATATCACCAGTTGACCACATTCCAACCAGTCATAGTTGTGCAACACCCTCTCAGGGTACTGGGACTACTGCAGTGTCACAGACAGTTTAAGTGAGGTCAAGGAGCTGTACATAATTTTAACTATGTTTTTATGGGTAATTAAATGATGCATGACATGTAAATAAGCTAGCTGTACTGAAACTTAACTAACTAACTGCTCTGACGCAACAGTCAAGCATCTCATCAGTTATAAAATGAATCAGATTTAAAGCAAAAACAATATAGAGAACAGAATGCATGACATTGTAAAGTAGCATGTTCCAAGGACCATTTCTGAACATTAAGCAAGTGTACTCATCCAGTCAAATTTTCAAAAGAATTCCTGGCACCAAAATATTCTCTGTTTGCTTTTTCACCATGGTTAAAGAATGGATCACTCTTAGGGGGAAGAAAATCTTGTGCACGGAACACTGCATGAAACTAAACAATCCTTTAAATGTGGCTAATTTCCATGTGGAGCTGATGATTTAGCACTGTCATCCTTCAGCAGAGGAGAAAGAACTGACTGTCTTTAGTTTACTTATGCAAGCTGAAAAAAGTGAAGAGTGTGAATTTGATCTTGCTTCAATTTACTTCAGTGGCCAAACACTTGCCATTACTTCAGTGGGAGTGAGGCTGCATCTTAATTCTTTCAATGAGGATAGAAACAAATCAGCTGAGAAAAATGTTCTTGTTTATTAGATTTAAATTACTACAATAGCTGTTTTTAACAGTGCTAAGTAAATCATGTTGTAAAAGCCAAAGGTTATTTTCAGTTGTGCTTTTTTCTATGTAGTATGTCACAATGCAGGATTCCTAGTGCTGTGACCAAGTCACCTCTGCTCACAGCAAGCATGGCTTACTCTGGGGCATGGCCACATTACCACAGGGGAATGATATATGTTTGTGGATGTCACTGGTGACAACGTCCAAATCTGGGCTGGGGCATTTCCCTCAGCCAATAAACCAGGGAGCACACTTCTGTAAAATAACTGCATTCACTGAGAAAAGAGAGTACACTAAGATGTCCATGAAAATCAGCAAAGTAAATCAAATCAATAGGGTTAAATTTGCAGTTAGGAATCTGCATTTCTACAGGGAAATTTTAGGATAGCCACAAATCAAAAAACATTTAATTTTTGTTTTTGGTTGTTTTTGTTTTTTTTTCCTTAGAAGGCAATCAATCTTCTGATTTGGCTATTCTCTACTTTTCCCTATAAAGTAGAACCTACAGATACACTCAGAAAATATGTATGGAAGTACCTCTCAACTAAAAAATATTATTACTCAGAAGATCGAAGCATGACTGTCTACACTGTGTGAATTACACGTATATGAATTAGGACACAGACCCTTCCATTCTTTAGTAACAAAACTGATGTTGTCCTGAAAATGACATTAATGAATGAGACTGGTATATAAAAACCAGTCCTTCTGCATCCACTCCAGGGATTGGAATGAGGATGTTAAATGATGCAGCAGACAAGGAGGATGCACTGCTCAGGGAAGCTGAATGTCACTTCTGTGCTCAAAGAGTTCTGCAGGTTGGATGAAGGTCACAGGTTATCTCCAGATACACAAAAATGAGTGATAAATACACTGTTTCTCTTAGATTGAAAGCAGAGCTAGACAAAGATTATTAGAATAAGGAATATTATTTAAAAATCATCCCCTGGATTTCTAAAGATGGCAATCTTCTATTAGAAGACAGTTTGTTACCTCCTCCATATATTAAAGCTATAACATAATAAAAGCACCTGAAACTTGTAGAAGTATTGAAGAGGCATAGATTAAGTAAGCTCCATGCAGAGAGAGCACCCTAAAAACATCACAAGAGCAGTGACAATTTCTGGGATAGTAATGACATGAATCAGAATCTAGAAGTTAAGTATAAGTGAAGAAGAGAATTTTTCAACTAATGGATCAGGGAAAATGTGGGAATAAAGGATGAGCTATGTGATTAAAGATCACAGTGTATTATATTAACACAGGTGGAGAATATATGACTTTAATTCTGTATTACTGCGGCTTTCGGGGGTCACTTGCAGCTGTCCCCCGTCCCTCCCCGGTCCCCGGGGCCCCTCCGGCTAGCTGTCCCCTCAGGGGACCGGGGTTTGCCGCGGTCCCGCTGCACTGGGCTCACCAGGCAGCGGCTGGGTTAGCACGGTCCGAGCGGCTGTGCGCCTCGGTCGCCGCAAGGAGTCGAGATAAAGAGACGAAGAGAGGTCAGTTGTATGCAGTCCAGAAAGATTGTATTGCCTGAACAGTTGCAGGGACAAAAGACGCTGGGCTACTGCCCAGATACAGTTTTATACAGCAAAATTAAGAGATAAGGTCTAAACAATAAAGACAGTGTTCAGCATGGGCTCATCAGAACCACCCCAGGGGTCAGGTCCAATGGGAACTGCTCAGGGGTGGGGAGAAGGGGGCTTACAGAAAGGTGCTGAAGCGAAGCTTTCCCGAAACAAAGGGGCATACATAAATGTATCTTTCCCTCATACCTAAATGTATCTTTTCCTCAGCTTCCAATTCCCC